CCACTAAAAATATGGACTAAAACATCCCTCTAGCATGCAGTCTTCCTTTTCCTATCACAATATTTAGTACTGAAACCCATGACATCCTGTTTGTGCTTGGCTGTCAGAGATATTTGAAAACATGCCTGCCTGTCTCTCTTGGTACCACATCAATGCTACAGGAGTAAAGACTAAATCAAGTGGGTCTGGAATAGATCACATTCATGGTGCTGTTATTATACTATAGAGACATTTTTGTACCATAAGCAAGTTTTCAAGTCATTCAGTGTCCAGTAAAGCTGTAGATTATCAAAATTATAACCAATGTATGATATTACTGTATTTATGTTATATCATATTATATTATATTATATTATAATAGCACATCGTATTTCCTTTCAATCTCTCGTGGGAAAAAAGAGCTTTCTTTTCTTTTACCATTGCCTACTGAAAGGCCTGTAAGTTGGACTGATGGCTCAGCCACCTACCCAGACTGTACAATGTTTGCCAAGGAAGTCAAATAAATGTGACCCAGTTACTAAGGACTGAGGTCTGCTCCATGGTGACTTCTCCCTCTGGAGCTCTGGGGAGGCATGCTGGTGCCAGGAAGCTGTGTCAACTAGTCAGGAACAGCTTTTACTCACCAGTCTGGGTACTTTCATGTGCAGAGCAGTCAGGAGTTCATTTCACGTCCCAAAGCTTTGAGGGTTTACCAATCTTTTTTACAAGGGTTGACAATATACTTTGGGAGAAACCCTTGATATCACAGTCAGCAAATACATGTATGCAGACAAAATCTGAATGACGAATAACATCTCATAGATAAATAAATGTCATTATTTTCAGATTTACAGTTGTTACAGCAACGGTTCCAAACATTAGAAAAAGAATGTCAGTTTGTACCTACGCTGTGTACAATATACGAACTACATAATAGTCAAGGCATACCCACTAATTTGATCAATGTACCTAATTATCAGCCTTTGGATGAGACATGGTGATTATAGGGGAATAGTGAGGTAGTTATGTGCCTGAAGTGCTGGAGGGCTCTGTCATCAAAGTATACCTTCCATCCAAACAACTGGACTAGTGTGCATTTTTAGTGGCTTACATTTCTGGCAAGGTTCTCCTCTGAATATCCTTGATAATCCACACAAAAAGGTGCCACTCAATCTTACAAGCTATTTGGAAATGTCAACAACTCAAAACACTTCCGTTGGCTGTGTCTTTTGCAAGGAGTTTCTCCTCCTTACTTTTTGTTTCAGTGAAAATTAGTTGTTTTACTGTATCGTGGAGAGAAAGCATCCTTTAAATGGAAGAGGCTTGCTCCAGCACTCTCCTTCCTGACTGATGAAATCAACATGGCCTGTAGAGTCACAGGGCTCTGTTGAAGATGCCTGCTTGTTCATGTTGTGGTTGCCTTTGTTTGACACACTGGCGACAAAAATCTGCCGCTAAGTACGGCGGGCTGTCTAGCCCCAGGGCTTCAAACCGGAATGTTCCAAATGGTTCAAATGCCGCAAATCCAGCTGAGTGCTCTGCACTGTTTAGTCAATGTCAAATCTTTTTGATGGGCCTATCTTTCTGTGATAACTTAACTGTGATTCAAAAGAGATCAAGCAACAACACTCCCTGACATTCATACTGCGTGACCCGGGGTCAGGTCCTCTGGTTCAGGCAGGATACAGCTGCTGTTTGCACCCCCTCCAGGTGAACTCTTTTAATCCACCCTAGACGTTAAATGTGGCGCAACACAATACATTCTGTTCTTAATAATTCATTCCTACCATTTGCACATCAGCCATGAGGGATGGCCTAGGGAGGTTTTTTTCTGTACAACTGGTTGAGACTTGTTACAGATTTAGTTACAGTACCCATTCCTGTTGTTATTGGATTACGTGCAATGAGATTGCACTTTGATGCATTCATACAATTCTAAGCCATACTCTTTTTGGAAAGGTTGAATCGCCTTGATCCAAAATGTTACAAATACCAGATGGATCAATTCAAATTAAGGCACAAATATCACACATTAACCTAGTGTAGCACATTTTACAAAGTGTCATTTTACTTTGTTGTCAAATACATTTTCGCTCAAAAATGTTATTTTCAAGATGAAGTAAATTGGAGACTGGTGAAAGATTACTGGAGCTGACCCAAAGCTTTCAGCTAAAGCAGCTGCGTCATGGGTCAACTGAATTAACCCAGCGCCCATATCTGTATTGAACTTCTCTTTTGTCTTGTCTGGATGTCTGGATTAATGCTTGGCAGTTTTACTATTCTTATGGACTTCTGAATCTTCATTCAATAGTTCCTTTGCTCCCCCCAAACACATTTGACAGACCAGCCCGAGCCTTTCCTTCAGCCTTTGTAGACACTTGCTTATGGCATTTCCCCATCACTGGCAGCGTCCCAAATACCAGAGCTTTGTGGGCACCGCTTGCCATATTGGGTTAAGTGGCAGTAAAGCAAAGTGTGTGGAAATAAGAAACACTCCTGAACTTAAGTAGTCTCAACAGTGAAGATTGTTATTTGTGTGCTTTTCTTTCCCTAACATACGGTTGGTCTGTTGTAGCCTTGGTGATGATGCCATGTGTGTGCATTGTGTAGAGTTGGTCTCCTTGAGGCATATTGGATGAGAGTAGTTATGGGACCACCAGACAATCACATAACTGCTTTTACATGTCCCTTGATCTGCTATGACGTGTTAGAGGGATTTACTACATGTATCTACAGAGAACACGCTCTTGAGTTCTTATGGCATGTGGTATACTGTCTTGTGGTGTGATAGATAACATGACCAGAGGCAAGCAACCCATCTCCCAACAAAAATTATCAACTGCACCTAAAACATTAAAATCATCCTTTCATTCGGTGATTAACGTTTGATTAAGTACTCATTTCTTTCATATCATTGTTATCACTCGGGGCAAGGAATGTTATTAAATATTAAATCTGCATTTGTTCTGTGTTTCCCTGCACTAGATATGCACCCTCCATAGGGATTAGGTATTCACGAAATATGGTGTTGGAAATTACACTTGCCTAAGTAATTTCCCACTAGGTTTCATACTAATTACGTTACTAGATCATGAAAATCTGTATCAATTAGTATGTGACATCAGATTTAGCAGATTGGGGGTGTAAGCCTAGTATTTGTGTGATGGGAGTGGCCATTACAGGACAAGTATCCTATGTTTGAACACAGAGCAAGCGCCATTCATTGCAGACAAATTTCTTTGTTCAACAGCGGCGGTTGTCACAGGGTACGCCTGGAAGGCTTGGGGATTGAGTCACACTGATAAGCACCTGCTGTAAATGTTAATATTAGCTGCTTCAATTACACCATGTCCCCAGGCAAAACCTATTTGTTAGCAGAACTGCTTTTGTGTGATGAGCTTGGTTGTGGTGGTGCCAGACAGGGTGGGCCACCAAAATCAGCTCATTTGCTGAAAACAATTTCTCCATTTACGTTCCTTTTTAGCCATTAGAAACCAACCTTTATCATAGTTTATATTCCTCTTTATTCCAGTGGTTTATGAATGTCTATCATAACACTAAGACAACCTTTTTAAAATTTGATTCAACTTCCATAATGGTTTCATTTGAATTTCTGCATGTTACCAGGTTATTACCATCATTTTCAATCCCATGAATACATCTGAAATTGTCAAAAAAAGCCATCTCCTTTCTTTATTTCCTTTATAAGCAAAAATCAATTATTATATGTGTGTGCACTGTGTTGATGTCATCCATAAAATTGAATGCGGTGTAACCTAATCCTGAGTAAACATTGTAGTTGAACTATAAATGTTTGAGGTATAAATGTGCCTCCGATCATGTCCAGACTCCATTGTCTCTGACTCTCTGTTTGCTGGAAAAATAAGGCAGGTATGTGTACGTTCTACTGCCAACTCATTTGCATAAAGAGGTCAGAGGGCATCCTGCTGAAGGTCTGGACTTCGTATTCACAAGCCAGGAGGAATGTTGTGATCTCTTTTGTATACAGCTCCTAAGCATTAAAGCTCTCTCATTCTATTCTGAAGAGGGAGTGTTAAGAAAAAAATAGTTGACAGCCTAAGGCTGAGAAAATAAATCATAGGCTCCAAAAATTACGGAAATCTGCAAACCTTGGAACAACTGACGTATGCAGTAATTAGTGGCTTGATCCTCGACCAGCTGAATACTTTTCCAGGTCACATAACTACATATCCATGCATGCTGACTTCCAGCCTCTGCCTAATGGTGTAGTTAGTTACAGTATTTCTTTGTACTTGCCTGTTTATTATTAAATCATTAGACTTATAAGAAGTTATGAATGTTTATTTCAGGAAGAAACAACTGGACACCTAGCCCCCAGCAGCTACCCTTTGAACTGCAGCTATACAGCTGTTTGTCATCCTAGCAAATGCTAAACCTTTTGTTCCTGGCCTCATTGTCATCTGCCCATTTTATTTAAGTAAGACCACACGTCTATTCATTTCCCCATGTTTGTTGGGAAGCAAAAACACCTTTGTCATTTCCTCACTTGCTATTGTCCTCAGAACAAATGTCTGTTATTTGATGGGTATCAGGTAGGGAAGGTGCACTGTGACTGACTGGAAGGAAGGATTAGAAAGTACTATAGTCAAAATTACATACATCTTATTGTGTCTTTCTAGTTTCTGTACAAACTGCTTACAGACAATCTTGTATACAAGTTTCAACAGGATTTTGTGCCATTCTTGTGGAGTTAGTTGTTCAGTTTTGATCTTCCCCCCACCCTCACTTGACTTGATGATCAGCCGTAATACCAGCTGATTAGGGGATATTCTCACCTGGGTGGAGCCCAGTCATGCCTGGTGCAGTCCAGCAGGGTTCCCACATACGTCTTGTTCCGCCAGGTAACGTTCACCACCAGAACACCTGGGTTAGAAAAGACCAGAAATTCAACTCAGTGGTGTGACACATGTGCACAACTGTTAACAATAGATTACTACAACATTGCTTGTGTACATAATACATGTGTATCTATGGTAACAGACTACTTTACTGCAGCTTATAGGATAAAAGATTGGTTGGATAAATACAGCTTACTTCTGTAGGTAATGATACAGACATATTACACTGTGTATTTTGTATGTTGGAACAATCTACAGTGATCAACACATTCTTGTTTGTAACATTATATCATCATATCAAGTACAGTGTGGCAATGCTGAATGCTGTTTCACAGTGTCTACGCTTGATAGGTTTCACCAAAATATATGCACATCAAATAAAGCTCCTCTAGTCCCTTGGATACTGGTAAAAGAAACTTGCTAAATCAAAACCTTTACTAAGGAAACATCTGTCACTGGATATTTCCATCTGTAGAAACACCTGCAATGTGTTAGAATTATCTACTACACAGATGAGCTTTCATCAGATTCATCCACTTCACATCTCATCTATACCTTGTGATGTTCACCAAACATTGACCCACCCAAAATTTTCACAAGCCTGATCGCCCAGCTAGGATTCCACCTATGAGTGACAACTAATCGCTATGCAGCATATCAATGTGGCACCATCACAACACTTGTGGTTCCCACTGCCAAAATTGAACCCATGCCAACTTTGTGACACAGGAGATTAACAGGTGAACCCTGGAATACTCCCACAAAATAACCCATCCTGCTGCAACTGATGCACATTACCGGTATTAGATGTGCATCTGGGTCAGTCAAGCCCCCATAGCTCCCTGGTATCTAGTCACCCCGCCACACTGCTGTCCCATACACACAGTGCTTTCAAAAGCCAGTATACACCGCAGTTGTGGATACAAACCTGGTGCATACAAACGTCACAAAGGAAGGAAAATGCAGAGTTTATATAGTAACAAGTGACATTAGTCCCATATAGTGCCTGGATTTTTGCACATCATCCCATATGCTCAACATATGGAAGAGAATTCCTGAGCAAGATAAGCCTCATCTGCCTCTGGACTCACCAGATCAAATATACAAGCAGTCAAGGACCCCTCAACCCAGCCACGAGCCTTGGGGCAGCTCTATGAAGGACAGACAACAATAACACTCCAAGTGTTCAAAAACGGTCCTTAACATGGTCTTTGCCTAATCTTGTTCATTAAGAATTCAAGTTCCCTGACAAAAGCCAACTTAGTCACAGTAGAGGTTATATATTGTTGAGGGGTTGTCAATTTTGATGAATTCTGATGTCTCGCAAAGACGCAATCTCCCTAGTCAGGCATTTCTAAATTACCAGAGAGAAATTACTGGTACACGTATTAAAAAAAACAGAGCCAAAGAAAACTATTATGTTCATGACAGCTGAAATCCTGATCTTGGTTCAGTAGTTCTACAGTTCATTTAACCTGAGTCACGCCATACTTCTGTATGTGATTAGAGCCTGGCTTTGATCCTGACTGGGGAGGGGGGCACGGCTCACTACAGGTTCATTGACAGTTCATGGCTCAAATCGCCACCCCACCTTATACTTACAGGAACAACAGCCACAAACAATGACTCAGACATACCAAACCCCAACCCAGCACAGCAAAAATAAACACCAGTTAGTGGGCACAGCTTAAACCTCAGGTGAAAAAACACCTTGTCAACATTCTTCCACTCCCTGATGGCTTGTTTATATCTTTGTGGAGACTTTTTATCTCTTCAAACTATTCAGGACTTATATGTTGAGAGTCTAGGTTTGACTTGAAGGTCCAAATCACACAAAGGAGAAAAAGAAGGGGGAGGGGGGCTAAGTAAAGGTAGCGTGAAAAAAATGTGAACAATGTCAAGGGTCAAATACTCAGGAAGGAACCTGACCAGAATACAATGTGCAACTGTGACCACAATGGTTTCATCCGGTCTGACCTGAACCAGACAAAACTTTGTCTTATTTATTTATACATATTCTAACAATATGACTGGGCGGATGAGCTGTGTTGTCCTCTATCAATAAATAATAGGGCTATCATATTGACAGCAGTAACTGGGCCCCTTTAAATGTTTTCCAATTGACCATAGATCTTGTGAGACGGACAGCACCTAGAGAACAATACCGGGCGGCTCTGTTTACGGTTTTGTTCTCCGCTCTGTTTTTTGGGCAAACACACCTGTGACCGTTACCTGACCAGGTCGTGCATAGGTTATATTTCTTGCAACATGCCTTTTGCGCAATGGAAAAATTCAACTGAAAAATTTCGAATCAATTTACTACATCTTATTGTGAAACCTCTCAAACAAAATGTGTCACAAATTTTATTTTTTACATTTGGTGATTATTCTTCAATAGCTATTACATGTTGTGCGTAAGAAAAAGATTATCATTTCATACTAGGAACAAGAATTGAGACTTTTCTAACCAGATGTTCCTCACACATAGCCCACTAGCTGACAGCAGAATAAATGCTCCATAACCTTTAGTATAACCTTCTGATGGGCCAACTGATACCAACAGTGAAGGGGGAGGGGAGGAACACCAGCAGGCTTTTATTTGCCCAGAACTTGTAGCTGCCTGGTGCTCAGAAAATTTAATCTAATCCATACATCTTTCATACAACCTTTTCACCATTTGCTCTGAAAATACTTGGGTGACCAGCACGGTAAAATTTACAGTAATGTACCTGTACAAGTGACTGGTACTTGGTCCAGAATGGAAAATGTACACTCCCTTACTTTAAGTGCTTGACCTTGGTGTCAATTAAGAGTGACCTCTAAACACACAACTGGTCACAAAGAGAAAGGTTCCTGCCAGGAGGGTTTCATGGCTAAACTCTACAGCGGAGACAAAAACAGTGATAATTTAGACACAATTCTTCCAAAACAAAAACTACTACATCTGACAAATATCAAAAGCCCTTCTCACCTATACATCCAATTATACTAAAAAAACTAAGAAAGACAATCAAGGTCAGAATCTCTTATTAACATATTTTGTACAAAGCACAGAAAGATAGGAATGAATGAGGTAATACTCATACACTGAGCAATAACACAAGTGGAATGGTGACATATAAAAATCAACATACTGCCAACTAGGAGCATGGATAAACTGACGGGCAAGAAGAGTGTTGCGTGTGGTCATACGTGACCAGAATAAGAAAGCAGACGTTCCCCCCTGCCCGCGTATGTGCACAGCTATTGGCAAAATAACGAGTCCTTAGCGCACCATCTCGGGGAACAGCCATTTTACTCGCTGCACTTCCTTTTCTAATGGGATATTGTTCTGTCTTCCGGGCCCATTGCGCACAGTAATTGTAGTAGAGGCGATACCGGAAATGTCAATTTGGGGACTGAAAACCACTTTACAGCACATTGTGTGAGACTGTTAGTTCTAGTACCTTAATCCTCTCTCTGCTTGCAGATGTATTAATACAACATCGGCACAAGTCTACTCACAAAAAGGCAACAGTTAGATGTATGTAGACTCTAGGCTCTCATGACACAGAATTAGTTATTTTGTGTTAGCCAGTATAACTGAGCTGAATATCATTGCAAGGATAGCCGCCGTGTTCGTTCTTTATTCATGACCTATTTCTAGCAACACATGCCAGTAACATGATTAGATATAGCGGGCACAACCCTAAGCCTGCTCATATTAAAAAAATAGGTTATTGTAGGGAGCCATTGCCTGGAAAATCCCACCCACATATTCTAGGGAGAGAGTCGAGTCATGATATAGGTCAGATCAAAATTGCAGCCATTGATTTGTGTTCATCCATAAAATATGACTCCAGTCCAACCCTGCATGTAACAGTCATTTTATCACAAAGTGATCTCTATTCAGACTATTGGACTGACATTTCCTGGGATAAAAATACATCTTTCTACTCTGCAAAAGCTATCTATCAGACAAAAAGTCAGTTACAAATTATTCAAAACAACACAACAGATTAAGTGAATGAGACATTGGCTTGATGTAGTTATTGAGGAATTCCCTTCTGCTTTTATCATGCTGCATCTGCATGACACTAGTAATTTTTTTTTCAAATTTACCTTCAGCCATGGATTTACAACAAATATTGATTGACAAAGCAGTTAAGTTACATATGTTCAATGTTTATTCCTACCTAACTTACATTTATCATCATGGTTATGATTGTCATCTTTTTCACATAACCTTGAGATATTCTGACATTTCCTCATCTACTGTCTAGTGTACAAGTGTATCCTAAATTGTAATTTGTAATCCTTTACAGGTAACATAAGTCATGCTACATGTAATATCATTATTCAATGACAATACAAGGCATTGTGGCACATTCTCATCAATTATGCAAACAACGTCCTAATTAGCTGATCTTTTAATAACATCCAATAAAACATCAATATTATTATCAGCCAGTAGCAACTATTATCATTCCTTTGCATAATAGTATTTATTATTTTTACTCGGTGAATGTTCAAACTTTACTGGCTTGAAACATAATAGAGATGGATTGAACTTGGAAAACTGACTTCTGGAGCCTGGTTATACTCACAGTAACATTAGCAGCACATTTGGCAACTCAGCATTACCACTTACCATGGACATCTTCCCTAGGGATATACATGGCACTACATGTATATTATCATGCAATTACAGAATACAAACCATGAACAGTTACTCCCAGCTCCCAGTAATTTTACCAAAGCTCTAGGCAATACAAAAGAACTCTATATTATCAAGTACAGACACTGAGCATGTTAGGTACATTACACAGTCCCAAGTTGGTGTAACCATTTACTAGCACGTAGGGAGAAGAAAACATTGGTATGCAAAAATATTGCCTACGTTCAGTCCGTGGTAATTGCAACTGAGTCAAATTTGTCGCTAGCCTCCACAGGTACTGAAAACCATTCTGTGTTACACAAATTACCCAGAAGTCTGATTATATTACCCAATCATCAAACAGCCTTCTGAAGGATGCATGCATGCTGGGAAGGTTGCAATGCAAGGTGCATATAGAATGGCAAACATGCAATGACATGGTATTCTGTTCAGACTAAAGTCAGCGAGCTCTGTCCATATCATGGCAGTCATACTATGCAGACTTAGAAATGGATTTTTGTTTTGTTTTTCTAGATTGGATACATATTTGCCAAACTTGCGAACAGTAAATTGCTAATACAAATGCTTTGAATATTTACATTAAAGCAATCTTCTGCTGCCATGTTTTTTTTAGAATTTACATACAGTAGATGTATTACTTGAAATATTCATTTTGATAGCAACAATGACTCACACAGTCAGGTTGAACTTGAGAATATATCATCACAGCATGAGGCCACACCAATTTAATTTCTTGGTTAACGGATTCGCCGCTTCATTTTTTTCTGATTTGCAAATAAAAATAAAAATTCAGAATCAACTGCAAAATGCTCATATTTTGCCTTGAACAGTTGAAAACAGTCCTTTTCATCCTACTTGTTACAGTTATTCCATCTTTCAATGCAGTGGTATCATTAAAAGTTCAAAATTCATTGCTTAAATTTTGAACCAGCCTGGTATGTTGACTTCATGGCCCCTATTGTACCATTTTGGGCCATAATAGGATGCCTAGGCTTGTTTTTATTTTTATTATTTTTTCGCCCGCCCGCTCCATTATTTTTCTTTAAAAATCCGTTAAACAAGAAATTAAATTGGTGTGGCCTGAAGTAATCAAATCTATGATAGATAATTCATAATGCTCGTGCCATTTGAAATCTAAATAGATAATGGACTTCTTAAGTTAACAAATAGGCTTAAGCCCATCATACGGATAGCAATGGATTTTCTCATAATTGAATATGTAATAAACTTACTTCTGCAGAAATGAGGAGAGTAAGTTCTGTAATCCAAGAAATCTATCATGATATCATACTGGAGACCAGAAACATGGCTAATGGTTTTCTCATGCCTTCTATGACAGAGTAGCACATTTTGTTTAAAAACACACTACATTTTTCCAGCAGTTTATTGTCTACAGTAATTTAGACCAAGAATGATATGGAATACACTGTGCTATTATAGTATATGAGTATATTTTCTTTTTTTTATGTCTTACAACCTGAAAAAACCATGTGAAATGAGCCTGAATTTATATGGTGTTCTCAGGCAAAAAATTTTGTGTCCATTTTAACATCCGAATCTGATGTTCAATTTTATTACAGCGATGGATACAAAACACTGTGGAAACCTGGTGTGATATAAGGAAAAGCCTGTGAGACGCCATAAAATACAGACAGGTCCAGAATACCCATATCAAACGTTATCACAACCCGGGTATGACATAAAATTCCTTATTCAAGGCTGCCAGACAATTGTGCGTGTGTGTGAATAATGGATCTAATCAATGGCATAACATGAAAGATTTGTTTCCCATAAGATAATATAGTAATATGTATTTCTTTCTTTAAAGTTTAATATTAGAATGAAAGCTGTGTAAATCACAGCAATTTGAAATGGGATTATCGTACAATATATCTTGAACACTATTTTTCATGGTAAGGTCAGAACTGCAACATACTTCTTCTCTTTAGTCTAGGAACAAATATTGGAGGGAAATTTTTTCCAACAGGCCGCAGGCTCCATATGGTACAGCTTGGTAACTAATGATCTTTACCTTCCGTTGAACTCACTCTAAAAATCAGGCAATGCCTAACGCAGAAGGGAAGATGGATAATCAGATCTACAGATCCAGGGATGACGGATGGCCTGCTACAATTCCAGGACTATGTTCCATCAGAAAAAGCCTTTTGTGCCTGACGACTCCCAGCCCAATGCTTGGGACCAACTCCAAATCCAATCAATCAATTCTGCAGCAGAAAATTAAGTTGCTCCCAGTATAATCAAAGCCTGGTATGCTGGTGTAGGCAGCGGGTAAGGCAACCCTTGGCAGGAAGAAGCCCAGCCTCCATTTCCGTCTGGGATAAAAATGCCACAGAAACAATCCCGAGAAGCTTGGGTCCTTCCCAAAAGAAGTGCACCATCGTGCCAGCAACCCTTTCAAAGCTAGAGCATACATCTTTCCTGACAAGGACTATGTTTAATACACAGGGGGCAGTATGGGGGCCCAAGGACAGAGCTTTCTGCAGTAATGCTATTGGAGTGCTCTCAGCCATTAAGCCATTTTATCACACTGACTGGAATAATTCTCTCCTGTTCTTGTTTCCAATAACATTAATAAACTCCTATTCACAGAGGGCAGGGCACAGAATAGCAGACACATCAACTAATTGGTAATGTCAGTTTCTATACAGCATCAATGTTTATATCCATACACAAAACATAATGCAGGATAGAGTAACAAAGAATATATACATCTAAGTAATTGTTCCCAGTTTTTCTCAAATGTTAGAAATAATTTCCAGTTGCAATGTATTGTGGAAAAATTTTGAATCAACAAAATTTATTTTAAAGACTTGTGAAAACAGGAAAATAAATTTAAACATGTAAACAAATATTTTGGTTAGTATCAATAACATAAATTCTCACAAACAGATATCATGTAATTAACATGTTTCTCCCTTTAAAGTGGGATTAATGAGACGTATGGAATAAACTGAACATATCCTACCTCCTTCTGTCTCGTGCCACACGATCCCCTCCAGGTTGACACTGGTTCCCGGCTCACATGGTCCCAGACACTCAGGTTCCGTAACCACCCCGACTTCGGACGTGTTGACTCCGATGTGGCGTACGGACGGCGCTGGGGTTGGTGCATGTACCGCGAGCAGTGACGGCGGGGGCATTACCTGGGCACCTGACGCCTTAGCACTGTGGCTGGAGGAGCCAGACTGCTATAGGGGAGAGACATTTTAGGTATATCATGTTACAAAGTACAGCGGCTCATAACAAACCTTCAACACTTCTGTCTCACACAAATCTGTAGTTCTACACCCACACATAAAGCTGGCAAGGCAGAGCCCTCACCAGGAATTCAGAGTGAGATGGTGCACTGAAAAAAAAACAAGTAAATTTTGATGAAGTAAAAATACTACCGGTAAAATTTCCAAAATTTGAAAGGTGGTGCTTATATCATAACAAGGAGGTGCAGTACCATTATGCCAAATTCCTCAGTGAGAGCCTTGTAAGGTAACCACATACACTGTAACCGTGAATATGTATATTGGTAAGTGAATGAATATGCATTTCATCCAGACTTCTCCCCACAAACAAAGCCAATCACTTTCAGTAGTGGTCTGTGAAGGACCTTCCATCTGAGATGAAAGTACAAAGAAAATGGCAACAAAATTCCACACTTAATGATTATACATACCAGGATACAGACCAGGATACCATACAACTGTGACTACTCACAAAATACATGTTATGATGTAGGACCTTTTCATAATGCATCACCATGACTGGAGTGGACATAGAACTGTGTTTCATCATTGCAACAAAAGTAACCCGGAGAAATATTACATGAATGGAACCTATAATCATTGTGGAGTTTTATGCAAACCAGAAAATCTAATGTGCTTAGAGTTATAGGAAGTTACTGAGTGCTGAGATAAGAAAAATACCAAAATAACCTGTTTTTTTTTTCATATGGTTTGTTCAAAGAAGCTATAATTGGTAACAAATTTGGCTCGAAGTCAAAATTATGGAGGAAAAATCTGTTCCAAATTCCAGGACTACCCCTGTGCCAAAAGCTTCCTGGATTCTTTCCCTGTCCCCCACACAAGGGCAAGCATCCTGGTACATGGAAGGGCTGGCAGGAATGCAGTGTTTACTTAAGAAACATATGAAGCTGTGATCAGAGGTAACTTTCCAGACATCATCTACACTGTTGAAATAACAGACAGCAAAATAAAATGTGTTAGCGTTTGATGTGTGCTCTGAGGCCAGGGCTATGGTAGGAATGATAATAATCATAATAGTCAATGGTATGTTGCCAAATACAGAGTTTAGAATACTAGTACTAGCTCTTGGCCATACTGATAGACACAAAGCTGAAACATATGAAAAACATAACCATCAATTTCTCAGTCTGGTACTAGTATATCATCATGCATAGCTTTTAACCAGAAATGTACTTTACAGGATGTGAATTTAAGCTTATAATTTGCTTCCAGGCATTATCTTATCATATTACATTCTTACCAGAATCTCTCCAAGCTGGTCCAGAGCCAACTTGTTATTCATTCCAGTACGCCTGATTGTTTTTCAGTTGAAGGGAAATTGCAAGTTTTCAAAATATTTTTTATAATTTTTTACCTGCAATTTTTTTTCCTGCAAAGTCTGGGTGAACATTTTGAGCTGTAATGGAAGCTACAATTACTCTATCGAGATCTATTACTATTACTGACACTCTGGTACATCTACCCTGAGCTCCATATGAAATTGTTGCTTACTCTGACCAGGAAATATGATATTTCTCAAAGGATGACTGATGTTGAGTTTCACATTATCAACAAGAGGGGGGGGCAGTGGGAAGCATTCCAAAACTCTTGATTACACATGATAGATCTACTAACCGCTAAGAGTTCATTTGTGATAATATTGTACAAGGCTTCATAAGTTCAGCTAACACCACATTTCTACATGTGCAGAAACACTAGTAGTATCTATGAATGATACAAGAACTGTAGTCATGTAGTCATCAATTTTTTTCCAATGTATATTGATAGGCGAGTCTTTAAGATTTGACGGTACATGTATCTCCAATGTATATCCAAATGTATAAACAAATGCATCATGTATTCATAATGTAACTTCGTGCAGGAAATGTTTGTTTGGCATGTATCGTATCTGCAAAATGTAACCACGCTTCAGGGTTTCTGAACCCATACTGGCAATTGTTGTTATAGTGAATGGTAAACAATTCTGTTGGAACTGGTGTTTTGGTTAGTGAGCACACAACATGGTTCCTTTCACAGAGGTCACGGGTCAGACATGTACCAGGGGAACCAGTTTACAGCAGAATTACTAGTAATACTGAGAAGGCCACTTATCTAAAATAAGGGGGTTTTACACCAGATGGCAGGGACACAGCTACAGTTTTATGAGGCAAATGTTTTTCTAAATGATTGATCTGAACTATGTGTAATGTGTCCCAAAAACAACCAGATAGATGTCAATTTAATTGGATGGGGGAGGGGGGCAGTCTAGTGGGAGAGTAGAAATGACTATTGATTACTAGTACTTTGGTATCACAAGATATCAACATTACATGATGCAGGTGCCTATTGCGATTTGTGTATGGGCGAGTCAACTACAAACTACATTCTCCTTGTACCTACCAACAAAGGTGTGCTTCGCATTGTTTCTGAGTTACCAGACTTAAACCAAACAAAAGCGGCATGTGAATGACCCTTTCACACCTTTTCTTATCTACGAAATGGGCTCATATATTTCAGGACACTGTTCCTTATCTTTCATTGATTGACAACAGTTCCTGTGGGGTGAAAAGAAAAATGCCATTGATGACATACCAGAACTTTATATCCATATCCTATATCTGAACCGAAAAACAAAGCCTACATCCTGTGATAGCTGTGGCCTCTGCCCAGCTGTTTTAGGTTTCAAACACTGCTATTTGCACTCAGAATGGCAGCCAAGGTTTTTTCTTTTACAAGGTCAGAACAGATGTATCTTGTCAGAATCCTGGATAACAACTGGGGAAATATGCAGTTACTGTGAGAAAGATATGGTTGGTTGTTTTTGTAGGGAAATGAAGTTTTGGGGGAGGAAACAGAAGAATCTAGTTTTCTTTGGCCTGCCATTGTTTATCAGCAGCCCAGTAGTAATGACTAATGTGTTTGTACTCCAAGGTTTGCATAACAAGAGAGGTGTAGAAGGTCAGCTGTCACAGGGCCATAGCAGAACATGCTAGCTACATGCTTTTTATCCAGCTGCATTCTACTAGTATACACTTGGCTTGCAAAAAAAAAAATCCAACCCCTAAGAATATATGGGAAAAGGACTTTTTTAACACACTAGAATGGATACACATATAAAAAATTGTCTTTATCCGATCCAAACTATATATATATGTATATGCTGTTTTCGGTGATATCCACATTTTCAGAATACCAACTTCATTGACTAAAATGAAATTTTGTAAGTTGAGATAAGATGCACAAAGGACATGTGGATTCTAGCACTACCACTAACACACACACACACAATACCTGCCTTCTTGTAGACTAGAATTATTTCAGCCAAACACTAACCAGATGTAAATTCTGAGTACACATGGTACTCCTACATGTACTGCCAAGGCCTGATCTATTTACAGTTGGGCTTCACAGTTACTTCACAGGGCACATTCAGGTGTCGGGTGTCAAAAGCCCACATGCAAGCATGATTTAGATTATTTACAAATGTTGTTCCCATGTTTGAGAGATTAAAAGAAAAAACAATTACCTTTTCTGCTTTCTCTGCCTTGTTCTTCTTGCCCTTTGTCTTGGCACTAGATCCAGATTCACCCGACTTGTCATTATCCTTTTTCTTCTCGCTTCTCTCAGACGTGGAACTTTTCCCCTTGGAAGACGAGGGCTTGTCGTCCTTTTTTCTGTTTTTGTCGTTACCATCCTGGCCATCGTTTCCACTGTTGCCGCTGCCACAACCCGAACCTCCACCTACATCCGAACTCCCCTGGTGTGAATTGGATCCTCCACTTGAAGATGATCCTTTGCTACTACCACTACTACTGCTACCTTTGTCTGAGGTTTTACTTTTGTGATGACTGCCCCCTTTGTTGGATTTTCCTGATTTCTCCTCGCTCAATGAGCCCTTTCCAGTTTTACTCGAAGGTGTGAAATAACTTGAACCGGCCCCATCGAAATCGTACTGAGCGTCTCCATCTTTCTTCCCAATATTTAGATCACTTATACTGTATGTTTTTGCCCCATTGACGCCCTTGCTGCGTTTCACCTTCATTTTGAGGTCCTTCCCTGCAGCTGGACTTTTGTTGTTGGCCACCTTTTGAGGAGAAGGTGGGACCATAATTTTCTCCTCCTCAGCTCGCTGACGATCTTTTTCCAAATCTGCGTCCAAATCGATGATGAGGTCGCCGACCCCGACTTCCCACTCGTCTCCGCTATCGTACAAGCCGTGTTCCTGGGTCCCGAGTACTGCTGCCATCTTCCCTCAGGAACTCCCGAGCTGCACCGGCCCCCACATCGAGCTCAGCAGGAGGAGCCTGCACCCTCTCGCCCGGCTTCTCACCCCTGGACGGGAGCAAACACAAACAAAGACATGCCATTTCAGACGTTACGATTTTCTCCACATGACGCCCATCATGGGAGACAAAATAATACAAACTCGAGAAACGTGTGTTGGCGTAGTGTCAGGGAGCCCGATATTCAGTATTCAGCCCAGAAGCTCCCCCATGACAGGGAAAAGTCTGGCCATGAATGCTAAGCCTGCCAGGAGTTACCATGTGGCGGGAATTAGTCAAACACCACATGACAACACCGATCAATCAACCACTTTGCCAGGCCGCCCATTTGAGCACGAAGGACAATATAAATGGAGACACAGACAAGTGGTATGCTACTGCAGCTACAAATGCACCACAATACTGTTCCACCCTGCTAAAGGTTAACAAACGACACCTTAATATAACTGCCACCAAATATAGTCCTTCTAAACCTGCCAGCCTTTGTAACACATGATCCTACAAAGGATATTCCATAATCCTACGTGACCTGATTTCTAATACCCCCCCCCACTCCGTACGGAGTTACTGATTAAAAATGGTGAACATAGCAAGCATACCCAAAATTCACGCAACCCACACGCAAATGTCGCTCAGTTTAGACATCCACCGTGTGCCAGTGATCCCAACTCCGCCGTATTCCTCAATTCTCGGGCCTAATTTCTTGGCAAGCACGCGGAAATCTTGCCGTCCGATAACAGAGAGTGGCCGTGGTTCTTTGTTTCCACCAGGCTGGCTTGTTCCCCCCTGCTGTCACCTCGAATGTCCAGCCAACCCGCGAACACTTCCGCTGGTGCGTGACACACTGATCACTCGGTCGTGCCGGTCCTCTCAGCTTTCTAAAGCCCTACTCAATTGGCTGCCAATTATCACCACCCTATTTACGTAAAGCAGGCTGTCTGCTAGATTAGGCCATCTCAAATCAATTGTGTGTTTTGCATCAATTTGAATTTTACATCTATCACGCAATGTGCCAAAACAAATGAAACGTTGCAACGCCGGATAACAGTTAGATAAAAATAGGAATTCTCTTGAACAATGTTTCAATGAATTAGAGGTGAATCGTTATAAATTTCTTTATTTATCCTACTTCGTGTTCAAAGATTAACATCAAATCAACTACAAAGAAATTTGGCCCCGTACTAAGCAATCAATTGCATTATTTGTTTCAATAAAAAGCCAATTTCATCTAATGGTAACTGGTGAGCAAAATTAGGTACATTAGCTGCCCATTTTATTCCTTTTTGTTTATGTTTGGATGCGGCCATCACATAGTCCGACCTTATGACCGCATGTTATAAAATTATAACAAGTCCATAATGTAAAATCCAGTCAAAACCAGTCTACCTAGTTCATCGATAAAGGGGTGAATTGCCGACATGACAGAGGCCCATTTATACTTCATTGGAGTCATCAATTTCTATATTTTCCATCTTGAACTATTGTTTTTATTACATGTATACGTTTTCTATAACATCAATTTTAAATGAACTGTAACGTTACATTCCTGGGTGAAATTTACAGCAGTGTTTCCTTTCAGGGTTCACGAAGACAACCTTGGGTGGAGTGCGTTTGCTGACAAATGCTGACATCTACTCAATGCATATTTTAGATCGAAAAAGAGACGTGTCGATATCGCCTCACACCAGCTGTCCCGTGTTTGGTATTCTTCCGCTTTCCCGGTACTGAACCTTGTTTGGGGGATTAAACCAGGGAGGATGTATGGTAACAGTAAAATAAAATGGTTTCCCTACAATGAATGGTTTATTCATCCTTGGTTTATTGAATAGCCAGATGCATTTCATAAACTTCGACCTTCCTCCCAATCCAGGTCTTGAAAATGTAAACATGTGACATTTTTCTCGGACCTGTTCTCCGCCCGGACTGGTTTGAAATGTACTAATTATATACATTACAACGTTCTGCATGTGACGTTACAGGAAAATTGAATTACTTTTCTAACCGTTGAAGGTCGACCTCCCACTGGGCGGGCACAGTGGAGAGCCAAGGGAATCTACCAGCCATCTATCCACGTCACCCACATGGAAATCATTCTCCTCAAATTACCACATCGTCTGTAATAATCTCATTCACCGTAACACATAGACAAAAAAATATTGTGGGAGTAATAATTTTTTTTACTAACATTCTGGGGAAGGTGGGCAGAATTTCACAAAACAGACGACTTTTTGTACACAGTTTTACTAGGAAACGAAAAAGGGTGACGTCATGACTGTTGACTCGGATCGATTAACAACGTTGGAGAGATAAGCCCTCCCCATTTCGCGGGCAAATTACCGAGTCAGTCACCCTGGAGCGAGAGGCATTGTTTTCTGCGATACCCACCGGCTCAAGGTTTTACACGTAGTTGGCACGAAACGGGTGTGAGTAAAATACTCCACATTTTTGCCGAATGGAAATCTAATAATCTCGATAACACACTGCTTTTTGTACCTACCAACAGTGCACGTTTGTGCTTTTTTTAATCTAATCGATTCCAATGAGTGTGGAAAATAATCGAATCACACTGACTTTTTATGACCATATCAAAGGGCCTGTATAAAAGCGTTTAATGCATTGATTTCGTCTCAACCCATGTGACACAGCAGCCCAAAATAAAGTCGTGGGGTTGTAAGTAGTATAAATAGTACGGTATCTAAACAGTATTATCGTTTTGTTTTTATCTTTTTTAAAAGAGCATTTTACATGGATACCGTTATACGTATCACATTTCTTTTCTCATCTTTTTATTCCTGTGAATGTGTTCATTTAGTAGTTCTTGGTAAAATTTACATTCATCAAAGGCGCAAGGGAGAAGAATTTTACTTTGTTCTTCCCCTGGTAATAAACATCTGAATAGATTATTAATTTCTTGCTTGCTAAAAGATCACACCACTCTGACAATAACATGTAGCAAGGAGCTTGCTTGCATGTAGCATTTGCCGGCTTCTTGACATTGTCCTTCACTCCTTTTGTTTTGGTTAGTTTTTCTGCATGTGAATTGAGAATATGACCGACGAGTGCTGGTTGCCTTGTGAGGAAACTGAATAGTCAGTCGTGACACGCTCGAGTTGACCCCACCAATGGGGAGACCACGCTGGGACCAACCAAAATTCCGCCAGCTGGCTTCTTGCATGGCACTGCACTGTGCTATCAAGATTTTGGAAGGAGACTTGCAGATGTACTAAAAACAACCTGGCCTCGCCTTCTTGGAATCATCTGTTTGGGGAAAAGATTGTTAAGTCGTCCCAGATAAAAACGCTAACAACTGAACAAGCGAGAAAAGAACGCCTGCAAGATGGGATTACTTGATAATGACAGTGCTTTCTATGACACAACACGTCCGCAATTTAAAACATGCGACAAACAAAAAATATTCTGTGCTTGATATATGTCTAGTTTGATATGGGTTGTCGTTCTTGAAGAAATGCCAGAAGTCCAATCATGTTCTCCTCATACATTTAGCGGATAAAATACAATTATAGCCTTTACAAGGACGACCATTCAATCCCTGCTTCAGGGGTTTCTCTCTAGATGCTTGATGTGGACGAGTTACACGAGTGACTATAACGTTAGTGTCTTTGAAGTAAGCCAAGTGGAAAGAAGACTTGCCAATCGTAGAAGCCAATTTTCCCTCAGCAGATGCTATCTGTATCAATATTTTTGTTGCTAGGGTCAAATGGGGCATACGTTTCGTGGCAGCACCCGAGTTCGGCGCAGGGGACATTGTTGCTCTCAATTGTTGGTGGGAAACACTCGTGACGGCTTCCCTAATCGTAGGAGTTTGGGGGAAATTGAAGTGGGCCTCTCGGGGGAGAACACAGCGCGCTTTATCTCCCCGGGGAGCCTGTGTACAAAGCGCGGCGGACAATTTACGTTTTGTGACTGTACTCGTGGCAGTTGGTGTGGTTCTGTTACGAGTCTGCCCACCCCCGTAAAACAATACCTAGCTATGCCACCTTGCTCCTCTAAGGTAGCAGAGGAAAGTAGACTTCCCCCTTTGTTTTGTTTACCTTTGTATATTGACTGTAATATTCAGTGGAGTGTGAGTTGGTCCCGTGTATAGACTTCCAGCTGGATGCTGTCAGACAGACATGCACTACGTCCCTCAGACCACCTCTGTGTCAACACAGTAGGGCCGCAACTCAAGCCCGCGTCCACCCCGTGTAGCACAATGTGTATGTATACAAAAGGCGACCACACTACTCCCGACTCACACAACACTTGCGAGAACAAACACGGCTGCCAATGCAGAACACACATTCCCCCGTCTGTTACACATGGGCTCCAGAGGTCACGGTATCGGGTGACCTGCTGATCCTCTGACGGTTCTATTTGAGATGGGCTTTGTGGCGCTGGCAAGGCGAGAGATCGATAGCATTCACACACGGTCAGACGATAGAAAAGGCGAGCCAACTTCGTCATGGTACAGCGAACAAAGACAGGAAATAGCAACTGATTCGTCCGGAATAAAAAAGACCCAGGAATGATTTCTCCATGACAAACTCGTAATCAATTCTGCAGTCCCTTGAAATTTATCAGATGATGGGACGCCCCGTGGGGCTTTGTTTCGGCGTGTTAGCGAGAAAATGTGTGAATGATTCAAGGAAATCTATAAACCAGTGCGTGAGGATTTTACACGAACAGATCCATAATCCCTGCCGCATTCTGTACCCTGAAAACTGATGAATCCACATGAAATACGGGAAAAGAGCAGTGAGGGGATGAATATGTCCTTGAGCAAACTACTAAACGTAAAATCCCTGCTTTGAGTTGACAACAAACGTCTGGTTTTATTTGAACCGAAGCCATAGTTACGATACGAGAATGCCGTGACGACAACCAAGGAAGTGCAGAGAATGCACAAAGGCTGGCATGTAACACAACAACATTCCCTACCCTGTGTACACCAGGCATTCGAGCTTCCCCTCTCCAAATTTTTGGCCTCTAGGCGTTCCCTGTTTGACAGTACCAGCCAACAGCTGTCACAGACAGCATGCAGTACCAGCCCTGGGAGTGCTTGTGGAGAGAATTAGGATTACAGTAGTGAAGAAAAGACATACCTTACTGCAAAAGATCTTGTGTGAAACGTTTTGTACGTAGTGTGGTAGTCCCAGCAGCACAGGGTTGAGTCGTGCGCGATTTGTATTCCACTCACAAAGTCCCGGTCTACTTTTTGATCCAAATGCAAACAGACAACAACGCGGGCCTCGCCGTGAACAGAACGGCGTGGTTCTTTGTTCCAGGCGCTGCACTAACCAGGCGGTAGGACCTCCTCTCGCCCCACCACGCGTTAAAACTACCAACAGTCGACACTACACTGCCTTCTTACGCACAGTTTTACAAGAAAAGACTGAGTACAGTTAGGGTACAGTCACACAACGGTTGCGAGCCTGGAGGTAATCACGTACAGTACCCACACAGCAAGCAGTCTTCTGCACAGCATGTAGGCACATAGGATGGTCCCCGTGAAAACAGGAATGGCTGCGCCCACGTAGCCACAGAGAACAACTGTCCCCACTCGTGCTCTGCTCACTGTGCAAATCGCCACTAAGTGTGCTTTCAAAGAGTCCGTTCAGCAGTGCTTTTGTTCCGATTTCCTTTCAACCCTTGGGCAAACATAAATTATGCCATTAATAAAATCATCCGGGAATGTTGACACTGCCTAAGAGCCTGCGGGGAGCCGTTGACCAATCAGCGGGCTAGAAAGAGGAAACTACGCGATGTGATTGGTCACCGCTCGTTTGTGGTATGCCACACACTGAGTCCACATGATAACAATGAATCATTTCCGCATGAGGTAAACTCTATCCTGGGGACCTTGTTGGAGTGTGTGTGCAGAAAACACGATAGCAGGGGGGAAACCAGTACTGCATCTACAGAACGGATAGAAAAATCATCCGACGAAACAGTACAGACGGATGCTAAACGTACTTCTGCCTTTGGTAGCAGGACCTCTCTCGCTCCATTTAGTTTTGACAATGTTACACTGTGAACTCATCTACATGTCTGATCTGGACAGAGGAAGATAAACCGTTTTGCCACTGTTTTTACGTGATGCACCTCTTTGTAGTCCCTCAGTCTTTTTTGTAGCACATCTTTTCACCGTGAAAAGCAACACAATTTCTGGCGAGACGCCTGAAAAGGCTGGAGAGGACGAGAGGTTATTCGGTTGCGCCTGTCGAAATTCTCGCCTGGCCTGTCGGCCTATCGGATTACGGCCAAACATTTGACTGCATGCGGTGAGGATGTTTGCTTGTCTACTCCTTCAAACGCATGCAATTTTCACCATGGTGCCTGGTACACTCTTTATCGCTGATGTTGTTTTTCTTTTTCTGTGTTTTACGACAACATTCGGGGGTAGACCAGTAGACTGAGGATTTTACAGCGGCATGGAAATTGATCCCGTGCCGTATATCGGTTCAGCCGTAAATACACCCTAGACACTGAATGCGGGCAGAGGATGTCAGGTCGTGTATCATGTATCACCATGTCCGAGACCTGGTGTTGTCTGGATCACGGGCTACTAAAATTATGCAATACCAGGCTGGTAAGAACGCACGTATTAATATCATATTACTTTTTATACTTATCAGCCATTCACGAAAACGCACCATTGTAGATATTTTACATTCATTCGATTGGTAAATTTCGCGAAACGCTTTTCTGTGAGCCTGTGAGGGACAAAAAGCCCCGAGATATTTCCGCAGAGCAGAAAATGTGGTTTCACGCAACGCACACGCCTCTGTATCGTGACGTGAGTTGGCTGGAGGATTGGCCAGGTGGCTCTTGTCAGGAACGGTTTTGCAGTTTAATCAAAACAACGGGGAGTTCGGCAAATACTGCCGTCCTAGAGGTTGGAGTACGTAGATTTGTAGATTTACCATGAAATATCTGCTCAACCATTCCCAGAGGAGCGCATACTGTGTAGACGTCGACTCTCCATGGTCGACTGAAACGCTCTTGGGTGTTGGCATTATCGTGCAAAAATGATCCCTCAGCTGTGACGTCCAGCTACATGCATTTTGTATGTACAAACAGTGAGAAGGTCAAGGGACACCGTGCAGAAAACACAACTTCAATTCACTAAATTTATTTATTTCAGCTTTATCACAGTATGGTACTACATGTAACAGGAACAAGGGAATGAGAAAGGAATATAATACTAGTATAGAATTCTATCTGCTCTCATCCTACCAAGGAGGTTTAAACCTCCTTGATCCTACCAAGGAGGTTTTAAAAAAATCTAAAAACCTCCCTGATCACATACCTACCAAATCCCTGTTGTCTTATCATGTCATTTTCATGGTAGAACCCGGAGCCTGGTCACCCAGACGTTCTACCAAAAATGTAACTGTGGTCTGCTGTGTCTAAAATGTAACTGTGGTCTGCTGTGTCTAAACATTCAGAGCGGAACAGGAAGCTAACTAGTTCGCTGGACTGAAGGGGATGTACAGCAAACGTGGGGTCATGGACGACGGGTCAGGGGAGTCAAGAAGGATAGCCATTTTTTTCTACCGAACGGCGCCCGTTTGTCACCGTGGCAATACATTCATAATGGGCAGCATTCATAATGGGGGTTTAGTAGACATGGCTTTGTAGCCATCCTGTAAACAAGGGGCCTAATATAATATAATATGATATAACCTTGTTGGAATTGTATGGCGTGTGAGGTAATTGTAAATTGTATGTAAAGGAATTGTTGCAAAGCGATAAAACGCAGTGGTTGCGATTTCTTTTACGGAATCACGCGGATTGGAAAGTACACTATTTGTTACTTTAGCTATTTCATGGTCAAACCAACGATTAGTCATCCAACGTGACAACAAACAGCATTTCTCTTGTACAAGGTCAGTCAAAGCTGTCGGTTAAAACGTCGTCCCCAGCTCCGTTCTCGTTCATATGCAGATGTGTTCGCTACAGATCAATCAATCAGGCTGTTACTGCCGCTGTGCACACGTACACTCCACTGCCTCTATTCATGTTTCTCTCTGCCTCTCTCTCTCTCCTTCATACCTTTGATAAAATGGCATTTTCTCCAATATTCTGAATCAATTGACATATTACAACAGTTATGTATCAACGACGTTTGTCCTGTTGAAAGAAATATTGCGCTTCCACTGGATTCTGAAACCTAACACCAACTGAAGGATTATTTTGGACCAGCGGAAGGTTGAAACAAACCATCAACGGCATCCTCCGTGACCTGCCAATACGACGAACTACATCATGCAAATTTAATCCACTAAACAGACGGCGAGAGAACGACTTGGTACATACAGCAGTACGGTTCTACGAAATCCCAGTCCGCTGGAATCGGCGCTATCCATAAATTACATGCTTATTTTATCAATACTAGTACCCTGATTTTCCACATTTGCAAAAATAAAATAAAAAGATCTTCGAACGTAATTGTAAAAAAATGACGCCACAGGGCAAATTTGCGTCAATAAAATATGATGCTCGTATTCCTACACAATAATGTTTCATTCTATCACGTTATGCAGCAAAGAGCAGATATCAGTCATTATTGATTTTTTCCACAGTCAAAATTTTCAATCGTATACTAGTATCTATGGAGAGCCCTGACTAGGATTGCGTGAAATAGCAGTCGGCGTATGATATCTTGTATAAGAAATTATGAATTTCACATCATTGAGTACAAAGCAACAAATTTCTCCCGCAGCTTGGCCAAACGACCGAAAACGTTTGCCAATTCAAACGGAGTTCCCGGACGGATATGGGGCTAGACTGGCCAGCTGTTATTCAGTCATCCTCCTCAGTGAATACATACCTGGGGTGCCCGGCAAGAGAAATCATGCATAGTTTGAAGTTGGTAATGGTTTCCATGGTGCAGTTCTAAAGGGGGGAGGGGGGAATGAAAGTGATTAGTGGTGATCGAACAGTGGACCGTGTGGAGTGCACACGGCTCTGTTCCATCAGTATCTTTGCCATTGATATAAGCATGGATGTCATGTAGTAGCAATCGCAATGAGAGACAACTATCCATTTTCCTGCAATGAATTCTACAAAAAGCTTCCAGACAATCTGTACAATCTAGCTATGCAGGTTTGCAAATTGCAGCAGTGAACAGTGATCACGCAATGTATTTTTCCATCCTAACACAATACCTGTGTCTAACACAATGGGGGGGGGGGGCATTTCAACTGTTCAGAAAAGGCCTAGGGATTCGGCTCAGGAATGTTGGATGCGGACGGAGTATGAACAAATTTGTCTGGGTGCAGCTAACGTTCCCCAAGCGAAAATCACTCGGGGCAGAATGGGATTGCGTAGCGGAACGGCCCACAGGAAGGCGTTTTGTGCACTCATTGTGTCAAAACCCTCAGGGTTTTAGATTCTGTAAACATCCTCGGCTTTCTCACCAGAAAGAAAATTAATCACAGTCACAGGCGGCGTATTTAAACCTCATCGCTTCGTCAGCCAAAGCGTTGAAACAGCGACACAAGTCAAATATTCATTCAAGTGTTTTGAACGCTGAAATGTCACACTCCATTTCCAAACGCTACGTATCGGCACTTGCTTTGGCCCGGGAAAGGAGCGTTTGTCTAGTTCTGCCTGAACATGGTTGTTGTCAAGTAAACATGCATGAAAATCAGGACCATGACTTCTTAGTTGCTGTATTTCTGTCCACCTTGACTTTTCTCTCGTATGTTTATTTGTATCCTTACACGTCTGTTTGCTCGTCCTGTACTTCAATGCCGCAAGGAGACCGTGTGCACTTATCAGTATTAAATAACGGAAGGCAGTCGACTAGAAAGGTGAACCAGAGGAGGTACTATTTCATGTACATGCATCATAAACGTAGTACATTTGCAAACAGGCATATAGTCTGCTGATCATGCCTGTCGTGTCAGTGACCTGTATTTGATCCTAGTTTTTTTTTTACAAACAATGTTGATCCACATTTAACGTTTTGTTTGTCTTGCCCAACACTACAAGCTTCTGAGTACACAGGTCACACAGGTTTCACAGCAACCCAGAAACAACAGCAGACGGCTGAAAAATGGGTCTGGATTAGTGAGAGAGGCCGTGTTACCAGTAATCCCTTCACACCCTGTCATGCATCGGGGAGGGACATCGACGGGGATGGTGGTGGTCGTCAGGCCCTGGTGGTGGTGGAATATTACTCTCCCTGTTACTCTCCAGGCATAGGTTGGGAAGATTGGTACCTTTCTAATAAATTTGCCCCGTGTTTTGGGTTGTAGCGGCAGAAAAAAAACAAGGAAATATTGTAAAGATAACAACTTTCCCCACCAACCTCTGCTTGGGGAGTAGTGGAATAAAATCTCTTATTTTATGACGAAAAAATTGTAGCATTTTCGTGGTTTGTACAAATGACGGTATCCTAATCTACATAAATTATATCTAACAAGATTCGTCGCTACCGATGCCACACATGTCATGACCATTAACTTCATTCCATACGACGGAAATGTGGCATTATCGTCATCAGTTTGCCTAATGGACTTCATGCCATGGCAACTGAATAGTGTCTACAACTACATATGGATTGGTTATACGAGCTTCTCGTCGTTATGCAAATTATACGAAAGATGTGATAGACCGGCCG